TTTCGGCTGTCTGACCAGGTCTCATTATATAAATAGTGCACGTTTTTGAGGGTAACAGTTGAAATTGACACCCCAAGGAAAACCATTGACAACCGACGCGTCAGCGGAGGTTGACAATGGTTTTCCGAGGGGTGTCAATTTCAACTGTTACCCTCAAAAACGTGCACTATTTATTTTATTATACTGAATGTCTTATTGATTTCGGATGTCATAAAAAAATCGGAGATCGTCGTTAAGTTCACGCTTAGAAAGCTTTCAAACTCCCCGCTTCTATTTTTCTCAATAAGAACGCTTCGGAAAAGATTTACCAACCTCTTTATTGTTTGTTTGCTACTCAAAAAGTCCTTTATCATCTAAAGTTTGCATTCGCAAGGATGTTTCGTCTGTCGTTTGTTGTTTTCAAGTAAGCTACATCGGACGCAGGCTTTTATTGACGTCGTTTATTCGGCTTCTTTCAAACGCACAACCGACGTTTTGAGAATTCTACGGTGAACCGTACGCGCATGATTTGAACGCATGTGACATTTTCGTTGTCAAGTGTGTTGCTAACGCTGAGGGTAACATTACGGATTGTTCACTGCGTCTAAACCAATCAGATTTTAGTACTTAACATGAAAGTATAATAAATATAGTTGTTGACGGAGCAGCATATTCACTAGTACCCCAAGGCCATCCTGTTGTTGGAATCGATTTAGGGAGAATTGTTTGCTTAATACGTCCCGATGAATCTTACTTGTTTGGTTTCCCAGAAGTAGACATACCACTACCTTTATTCTCTATTTTCTCATACAAAGTGTAATTTGGCTTTGGGAACATAAGGTACCTATAGTCCTCTGTGCCACCTGTTGCATCTTTTTCTCTGTCCAAAGTGTCGTATATTTACTAGATGTAAGTTTATCAAAACTGGATTCAAACGGCCTGCTTCCAGTATCCACTCCCGATACTGGTATCTTTGCTGGATTTGTAGACGTCTGTGGTGTAGACTTCATTCTGTTTAGGGATTCACTCAGTTTCTCTCGCATGGTGTCTATAGCACACTTAGGTCGGCCAAAAGGTTAGATTTTTGTCAACAACATGGTATAACAATTATATAAATTTAAAAAAGGAAATCTTCATTTTTTATCCATATAGAGACGTCATAATTTAGCGGTGAATGAATACAAATTTAGATGAAAACGTGAGGATAACAAACAGTGATTAAAAAAAATCTCTAACAATACAAATCCATGAACAGGGCATAAAACACGGACCCCAGGAAATTCCAGAGGTTGGATCAGGTGCCTAGGTTGACATCCCCTATTGACCTGTCACATCCTCTGTTGACCGGTCACATCCGCCTTGAGTCTATGTATTAATTGATCAGGTAGACAAAACATTCCGTAGTCGAATTCAGTACAAAAACAAAGGTCTAACACATGTAAGCCAAATGCGGCCCAGTGATAGGTTATATTAAATATGGAAAATTTTGTTAACAAGGTCATTATAATGACTCTAGTAATTACGAAATGCTGACTTTAAACGGCATTGTTGATTCAATTTAATTGATGTTAATGGGCGAAATCTTATGTTTAAGAATGTAGTTTATAAACTTCTTCAGTGAGTTAACCTCTAATTCATGTACACTACGTACAATAAACTACTTTAGTTGGAATGTTCCTATCTGGATGTGTAAAGACTGTTTCATTGATATTTTAAAATCATGAAAGAAAATGATAGAGTGTGAAATATTTTTCAGATTCACAGAACAATTAAATGTACTGATGACGTCTGTGAATTCCATGATTGTCCCGTAGTAATTGGATGAAGTCAATGTCGAAGGCCATAAAGAAGTCAGATTACATATATATACTGTTACATTTGTCGCTGTATCGGGATGTTCAACACAATGAGGGAATAGTCAGCAAATCAGAATCTGTTATACTTAAGTGGAGTTAGAATACCCCTTTTTTGGCGTCTGTCAAAAATAGCATTGAAGGTCAAGTTATATTGATAAGTACATGTACTTGTAAAAATGATTGTGTTTGGTGCATAAACTTTTCGTTGATTTTTTAAAAAAATCAAATTTATTGAACTCGTTATAACGAATTTGTTATAACGAATTAAATTCGTTATAACGAATTCTGAAACTTGATATAACGAATTAAATTCGTTTAAACGAATTCTCTAATTTGTTATAACGACTTAAATTCGTTAAAATGAATTCGACAAATCGTTATATCGAATTCATACATATTTTTCTATAGGCCGCGGTTGTTGAATTTGATTTTACGAATTTAATTCGTTACAACAAATTTTTGAATTTGTTATAACGAATTAAATTTGTTATAACAAATTTTAGAATTCGTTTAAACGAATTTAATTCGTTATAACAAATTTTTGAATTCGTTATAACTAATTCAACAAATTTGTTATAACAAATTAAATTTGTTAAAACGAATTCAAAGAAATTTTTATAACGAATTAAATTTGTTATAACAAATTCCACAATTCGTTATATCGAATTTGAAAATATTTTTTGATAGGTCCTAAATGGGCTTCCGTACCTTTGATACATTTCAGCATTGTAATCTTTTGTTTTACTCTGTCAATTGAAATTTAATACATGTTTTGTTCTATAATTAACTTGAGGCTGTCCAAAGTTTGATATAAAGGGAAGTTTATAGTATCTCTGTACTTGTCTTTTTTAAAGTTTTTTTTTTTCATGTTTTCTACTTTCTTATCAAAACTTCTGGACCAGTTTCAACAAAATAACAAATCATATTACTCGTTGAAGCAATTTTAAGTAAACGAAGATTTTATAATAATGAATAAAAAATTTACACATTTTGCGGAATACAAGATAGTGCTTGCGATTATGGATGTTGCTCAGCATAGGCTCTTTAAACCGCCACTTGTGTCGGAAGATAATTCTGACTCAATCCGTCGGTTCCTTAAACTTAAATTTGCCAACAAAGGAATAGATGCTGTGAACATAAGTAACATCCCTAATCATAAAAAAGTTCATTCTTGCATTCCACCATATTTAAAATTGAAGTCTACCTCTGCTTTTATAACAGATATACCCAAACTTTTACTTTTAAGCTTTTCAATAATAAACAATTTTACAGTGCCAAGATAATGGACATTTAAAAAAAATCTTCTGAAGTGTTCTTGCTCTTCTTCTTTCAACTACAGTCCTGCAGGACACGTCTTTATCGTGATGTTAATATAATTGAAAATGAGGACCTTAAAGATCTTAAGTACAGGGAGCCCCGATCTTTCAACTGGCGACAGAACTTCATTTCTGTTATGAATTCTGTGGAAGATTATGCCAAACGTGTTGTACATATATTCATATGATGCCGAAAAATGGTAATTTGTAAATGTGCGGTCAACTATGATATCTTGATTTTTTTCTGCAGAATAAATGATTGAGGTTATAGCACCCTTTCATTGTTTTCTTATGCTGAATTTTAAAATTCACTATATTCAGAAATCTCTTTGAAGTATGATCCCGGAAGTGGTATGATGTAACAGAATCCCACAACTTCGTTACGTTGGCTAAAGGCGAGGATTGGTATGGATTCAGTGTGTCATATACTGTAACCATTGAAGGGATCAGATGCTCACCGCTTTGGTAGGGATTCAGTGTGTCATATAACCACTGAAGAGATCAGATGTTCACCGCTTTGGTAGGGATTCAGTGTGTCATATAACCACTGAAGGGATCAGATGTTCACCGCTGTGGTATGGATTCAGTGTGTCATATACTGTTACCATCGAAGGGATCAAATGCTCACCGCTTTGGTAGGGATTCAGTGTGTCATATAACCACTGAAGAGATCAGATGTTCACCGCTTTGGTGGGGATTCAGTGTGTCATATAACCACTAAAGGGATCAGATGTTCACCGCTGTGGTATGGATTCAGTGTGTCATATACTGTAACCATTGAAGGGATCAGATGCTCACCGCTTTGGTAGGGATTCAGTGTGTCATATAACCACTGAAGGGATCAGATGTTCACCGCTTTGGTGGGGATTCAGCGTGTCATATAACCACTGAAGAGATCAGATGTTCACCGCTTTGATAGGGATTCAGTGTGTCATATAACCACTGAAGGGATCAGATGTTCACCGCTTTGGTAGGGATTCAGTGTGTCATTTAACCACTGAAGGGATCAGATGTTCACCGCTGGGTCGGAGAACTGCTCTTTCTTTCCTGATTCTTTTTCATTGGTGGTAGTTTCACATTTATGTTTATTTAATTGGATGATTCAACATTGATTAGTTAGGTGCGAATATGATGAAGATCTAGCTGTTTTTGTAGGTAAGGTCGTAATGAACTAAAGGGGACATCCTGAATAATAGCCTTAATGTAAAACCGATGTTCATTACTACGTTTACGTCTCTATTTGTCATCAAAAAAAAAGTCCCATAATATTCACCTTGCTTTTTTTTTTGAAAATATTTTTCTGGAACTTTGCAGAAAAAACAAGACACGTAATTATTCCGTTTAACTTTTAAATTAACTCATTAAACTGTGTTTTGTAGAATATTAAATTGGAGTATTATATTTGGAATGGTCTTTTTTTTTAAGATCTTTAATGGCATGGTATTTTGTTGTTTACTTTATAGAGTTACCTTTCTTTACCTTTTGTCCAATTCGGCATGTACTATTTATAGCTTTTACGCGAAATCTTGTCTCCGAGACCTACAAGTACAACACAACGAGGAAAGTATTAACTTTACGACAATATCATATTCTTTTCCCTAAAGCAAAGCTTCACTACAGGTAAGAGCTCTCTGTGTTTGCATATTCTTTACGTAATATCTGTCATCCCAAAACATTAATTGTTTTTGTACTTAAGATGAAGAAATAATGAGAGTAACTTGTCATGATTATGTAGTAATGGAACAAAAAATATCATCAATACCTAAAACTATTGATTTTTACAAATCCATAGGTTCAATGTTACTGCTTCTATGCTAATCCGTTATATTTTTAGCATTTTTATGTTGTCATGAACGAATTACATAACAGAAAAGTTATAAATAGAGCACGAAAAGGAGATTTACTAGAATTTCTAAGAGGATGGTACTTGCACTGGGCTGTCTATGTAGGTAATAGTTATATTCCTTGATTTTTTTATTTTAAAATATGATAAGATATGTATAAAATATGTGTGAACAAGTAGTGCAAACATATGAAAGCAAAAAACTAGGATATTAGGATTTTTATTCTTAATAATAGGATTCCGTGTAATTCAATTAAGACATCCACGTACAAATTTTTACTTAATGCTGATTTTGTAAAAATGTAACTCAAAATAAGCGAAAAGTTAATGAATAATTGTTTTTTGATGATGAAAGTTTAACACTTCATGGTAAAATGTATTTCTCTTGTCAGAATTAAGACACTGTGTAAAATTTTTGTTCACAGTGTGTAAACTGTAGATGAAGAAATGATTTGCATCAAAACGGAAACATAATTCTATGAACACCACAGTTAAAAGATGAAAATAGGTGCATTGATATTTACCTTCAAAGGAAATAAAGAGGTTGTGCATTTAGCTGGTATTGATGATGATGGTGTAAATGGAAACTCAAACCCTAGTCACGTCCTTTCCATTTGTGGGAAGAAGTTCAACAAGGCTGTGGTCAAAAGGGAGAGTTTTTGGAAAGTGGTTCAGGATTCCAAGGCAAAAATCAACAATGACAAGGATAGGAAATGCAGGTTCCTAGCAAAATAAGTTAAAGTTATTTTTTCAAAAAAGTTTATAAAGATTTCGAAAAATTAGTATCGTAAAAATATACTTGAACAGATACCACAGAGTCTGACACATCTGTTTCATATTTAAATATTCACTAGAAAAAGACGTTAGTGGTAACCTAACAACTAAGCTTTCTGATAAACATGATGACTTCAATTTTTCAATCAACTTCCCTTACTTATGTAGTAATATACACTTATCACCTGCATATGGGGTTTATGTTTCTCAGCTGATTCGATACGCATGAGCATGTTCTACGTATGAACAATTTCTAAAACGAGGAAAGCTATTGACAAACAAGTTGATGAAACAAGGATATCAACAGTCTCGTTTGAAGTCATCATTTTGTTAGTTTTAAGGTCGATACAATGACATTGTCAGCACATACAACCTATCATTGAGCCAAATGCTGACTGACGTTTTCATACTAATTGTTAGGCCATTATAAATACACTGAACTGCCTTCGGATTTTCCCGTTTTTCCCGATCATGACTAGGAGCACACGGTGGGTGTGACCGGTCGGCAGGGGATGCTCACTCCTCCATGGCACCTAATCCCACCTCTAAATATTTGCTCTTCTCCAAATTTATATCGTTTCATTGGACTTTCGAGATTGAATACTGTTTGTTATCTTCATATTTCACGGTAACGTCCTTGTTCCATATAAAGTATTACTGAAACTAAAAAATCATGTCTCAAATTAAAAATTATATATATTTACCCAGTTTACTTTAGTAATTCTCATCAGTTCAGAATGAATTCAATTATATATAGAAATGAGAATTGCTATTTTAAGATATTTAATTTTTCAGACTTCTGTAATGTGAACAAATACATTGTTATTTGGCAAATAATCAAATGATTATTAAAATGTTTCTATAGACCACGTCCCGCGCATCAAATCGCTGAAGAAGCTTTTAAGAAAATAGGAGAAATTGACTACAATGTTTTTTGGAAGAATTGTGAACATTTTGCGGCCTTCTGTAGATACGGAGTGAACTGGTCCGTGCAGGTATCATTAACATTCGTATATATATATATATATATATATATATATATATATATATATATATATATATATATATATATATATATATATATATATATATATATATAAATGCTCATACGTTATGACATAATCAACATTCAAAATTAAGGTTACTATCTTGGTTGCCTTGGTAACGGGCTTATATAGATTTTTGCCCCATTTACTCTCATTTCAAGCATTTCAAGCATAAAAATGCTAAATTCTTGATTTCATGTGGTTTAATCATATTTATTATTTTGAGAAATTCATACGTTATATGAATAGAACAAATTAAGCATTATATAACACAATTAAAAAAAATTCTACAAGTTACTGCAAATTCTTCAATTGATAGCTCAAAGATGACCAAATTCTTACATTTTGAAAATGGTCAATTTTACCCTATATTTCAAAAAGTCTCTCAAGAAATGCAGGCAATTCAAGAAAAATCACCATAAAAACACCATCGTAATATTTGTTAGCTTTTATAAAAAGTAGAGTGGGGGTTTATTTTGTTTTCGGTATTTTGAACTTCGAAAATTGGCATTTTGCTAAATAATATTTTGTTCAAAATGTTACCAAATACTGGATGTTTTATAAAATTTCTTTTCCAAACATTTTTCTCATTGATAAATAAGACAAACCGAATTGTTAATAAATATTACTAAATATAAATAAGATAAAACAAAATTAATTGACTTATTATTGTTTTTCTGTGATCTTTTACAAAGGGCAGATAACTCAAAACCTAAAGAAAATTATCTGACGTGTTTAACTTTTTACTGGAACTTATTCCTTTAACAACATTTTCAAATACTAGATAAAAAATGGAAAAAGATAATGGATAAAAACTCTAATGACACTTTTTCAACTAAAAAATAGTAAATAAATAAATAATTACTACTTCATACATAGGTAGGTAGATATTAATTTAGCAGGTTTGAAATTTGATAAGCTAATTTTAATTTCCTCCATTTAAATTTTGCTTATTTCCAGATGCATATCTTTATAAATTAATTTTACTCGATTAAAGCAATTAAGAATTATTCAGGTTGACCATAAATTAACACTCCATTAAAAATAAAACCATTAATGTATAGTCTTACAATCAGTAAACATACACATATTCATATAATTTTATCGTTACTTTGAAAAACAGCCTTTTTTCAAATCGCTAATAAAGATCTTATATTAGTATTTACATTAAGGTCGATTTAACATAACAATCATAAAGTTTAACTTCATTCTTTCTTGCCCTTACACTCAAAATGTATTGAAATCTATCTCTCTCTCTCTCTCTCTCTCTCTAAATACGATGTAAACCTAGAATTATGGAAAACTCAACAGGAAAATTACTCGCTGAAACAATCGATAAATCAGTACAAATATTAATGATACAACTTGTTGGCACACCAGTCTCAATGCTTTTTTTAGAAAGTCAGAGACTAGTATTGTTGAGATTTTACTATACAATGAGCAATAAAAAAAATACTGTAGAGTGCATAGTTTTCAAGAATTCGCCCATTTGATACCATTAAGATTAGAACTCTAAATATAAGCGAAACAAGAAGTTTGTGCGCTAGATGTACAGCTGTTTAGAAGACTTTATAATATAATTCTTTTGAGACGATGTCTTCCAACAATCTCATGGAATTCATGTTGGTACAAATTGTGCCCCGTTATTTGCAGACCAAACTTTTTTGATATTCTTATGAAGCGGAATGTATTAAAAAGTTTCTAAATGAAAAGAACTCTCTTCAATTCGACATTAAGATAAGTCGATAACGTTTTATAAATAAACAATATTCAACTTCATTCCAACTTTGAACCGTCACTGTAGCTCAGTAGGTAGAGCGCTCGCTCTGGGATCGGAAGGTCGTTGGTTTGAATCCCGGCCGCGACCGACGTAAGTCGATAAGAAAATGGGTAGCAACTGTTCCTTCGCCAAGCGCTCGGCACTTTCAAGGGAAGGTTACGGATCAGGACTTCGGATGAGACCTTGGGGACCGAGGTCCCGTGTCAATGCAGGTGTTGGCACGATAAAGATCCCTCACTGCTCAATGGTTCAGAGTGCCGAATAAAGGTCAAAATTTGAAGCCCTTCACCGGTATATGGTGACGTCTCTATATGAGTGAAAAATTCACTAACGGGACGTAAAACAACATACAATAAATCAATCATTCCTTCTTTGATTCGATATATATATATTGAGTTCGAAACAAAATACACCATATAGTCTAATATATTTGATTTATAATCGATTCTCTTACTAGAGAAAGACTTTTATGACAAACTAACAAATAAACTTTATGATAAACGTGATGACTTCAACTTTTCTATCATCAAGTCCCTCTATTTTCGTAGCAATACATAATTAGCACCTTCATATGGAGTAAGTGTCTCCCAATTGATTTGATACCCCAGAGCATGTTCTACGTACGAAACAATTTTTTAAACGGGACAAGCTATTGACAAATAAGTTGATAATACAAGGATATCAATAATTTCGTTTTGCAAATTTTTTGATCGATAATGTCCTTGTTTGTATGTAGAATCGTTCTTTAGATAGAATGTTCACTCTTTCCTACATATTATACGGACATATCATCCACACTGAATTTCCGTTTGCTTGATCATGGCAAGGACCATTCGGCACTTTCCAGGGATGCTTACTCCTCTATGGCATCTACACCCACCTCTGTTTTTAGAAAACTCCGTTTGCTCTGCAATTATTACAATAAGTGGACTTTTAAGCAAGATCACTGTTCGTTACCTTTACATTCATTAAGAAAAAACAAAAAGATTTTGTATCTATTCTTAGGGGTATTTTTTTTATTGATGACAAATATTCATTTCCCTATATGCTATAATATCGTCATGTTCTACAGGCTAACAAAGCTCTAGTTGTCATTATGTTGTCCGGAGCTGCTGTGATGGTCGGTGGTATAGTCATGGAAGTTTCTGGTTGGAAAAAAGAAAGAAACTAGAATCTACGTACTATAATTTTCTCAATGAATAAAAATTTATAGTATTGAATTTACCTCCTGAATGCATTAGCTTTTATCTTGAAGAAAAATACTTCTTAAACTGTGATATATACACCGTGATACATGACGTATGCCTTCAATGTTTCTTTCGCATTTAATTGGAAAGTTTTTTTAAGTGTTATATTAGTCATTCTTTTTTATAAGAGTTTAAATTGAATTTATTATGTAATTCAAAAAACAAAGTGCAGAATTCTTCAATCTTTGATAAACTAACCTGAATAAGATATTTCACTATGTTCTCTTTTGTGTTTTCTGGTTAGCGTGTGTTTATGATCATGAATTTTATGTTTATTTTTCATTGTGCCGTGTTGCATTTCGTTGTATTATGCAATTCCTTTAAAAAATGTCCAGCTAATTGTGCTGTATAACTTTTTTCATGTATTTGTTTATACACTTTTGTTAATATCCGTTTATTTTTCATTGTGACGTGCTGCATTTCGTTGAATTATGCATTTTTTTTTATTTTTTAAATGTCCAATTAATTGCGCAGTATAACATTTTCATGTATTTTTTTTATACACATTTGTTAAAATCCGTATTTTTTAACAGCTTCTATGTCCTTCCTTATACTATAGTATACTTGTAATAGTTTTGCTTTGTAGTGGTTGGCTTAAATTAAGAAATCCTGTTTATTTTAATTTTTCTTATATTCTTCATTTCTTTGGCTTTATATCTCAGATTCTTTTAGTGATTAGATGATTTTTTTTTTTCAATTTCCATAACTAGTCAATGGGTAAGTGTATTTAGTTAAGTGTCAATTATGTTGAATCTCGCAGCGTTGTTGTTCCTTACTATTTACACAAAGACCTTCCTTATAACACCACACTTCTTCATTTTTAAAATCTCAATTTAGATTTAATGCCTTAAGATTGAATATGTTGCAGGTTATGATTGTATATTATCATACATTATATTGCATTTATGCAATTTTGTTCGATGTTTAAGATTTGTCATGCTTATTTATTTTTGTATATCTGGTGGTGAAATAAAGATATGAAATGCTTGGTTTGATTCTTCTTCTTCGAAAAACAATGATTTTGATGATGATTGATATTTATGTTACATTTAAATTTTTTTATGATAGTTGTTCTCCATCTCTCTTTTCAGGCGGAAACTCATTGATTTAGATATGTTGTAGATATGGTGGACGTGGTATACACTTCAATAGTTTCTTTCCTATGTCATTGTTTAGGGTTAAAAAACGTTTACATCAACAGAACAAACACTGCATATTTTAATGCAATTACCATTTAAGCCAACTTCACATATCAATATGTATAATGTTCTGAGAAATTAAAATAAAAAAGCACTGTATTGTCATAACAAAAATATTAATACCTTAATACTTTAGAAGTTTACTTTATTTATTTTAAAACTGGCGGTCGACTGGGGATGCTTGCTCTTTCATGACGACTGATTCCGTGTCCAATGTTTTTAGAGGCCCGTTTTTGTTGTGCTCCCAGTTTGTATTGTTTCAATGGACTTTAGAGCTTGATCACTGTTCGTTATCTTCATATTTCGTAGTAATTATGTCATTAAGGAAAAACAAATATCAGAAAAACATGTATTCAGGAAAAAATAAAAAGTTCGTTAACCTATTATAAAAAGGTCTTTAGGTTGCATACTCCGAAAAACTGATGTGAACAACATGGAGAGTGACTAAGCTTTTGTCGGATAACTTTTCAATCGCCTTGTTAAATCACGAAATTTTACAGAAATTTTTTTCCAAAGGTCTGACATATTTCAGAGAGGATTACAGATACAAAAGTCAATAAGAATAAACAAGGAATAATTTATCAGCCTATTTGGTTTTGTATATCATCCGAATTCATGGCGTTTAGTTTCTATTCTTGAATGGAAGATTGTTATTCGCTTAGCATAATTGTGACAATTTGTTGTTCGTTGTTAAGTAAGCATATCTATCTCAGTCGCAGAGCTTTGTTCCAGACTTAATCTATACTTGCCAAAGAACTTAGAGAAAAAATTTAAAATCTCCAAAAAAAAAATTGTCTTAGTCAAAATCATCAAAACATACGAGTTTTCTGAAGTAGCTTTTTACTACCATTCTTCACGATAAATTAAACACTAGGTCTTTTGATATCATAGACGGAAGTCGGAAATGTTCGTATCTTGTGATTGGTCATTAACAAGTTACTTTGTTAAAAATCATTCCAATTCTTCACGAAAGTACTCTGATTTTGATATTAAAAGATGCTGGAGTTCCTCATCGACAACATTTATGAAGTCTTCTGAGACCAGTTCAGATGTTAGAATTCCGATATACACTAATTGTGCCTCTTCATTAGCCAGCTTGGTTTCATACTCCCGAATAGAAGAATTTATTCAATAGGAGTAAAAATGTACATGTACACTTGCTGTGAGCTTCAACTCGACATTCATATATATTGAAGATATTTTGTCAATAGACAATAGTTACTTACTTTCATTCATCTGTCGATTCGAAATATCCTTGTGAACCTGAACTCGAAGACATAACAGTGTCTGTCATTTCTGTTTCATATTTGGATGTTTTTCTGACAATAGGCGATAAGGGCCAATAATAACTAAATTGTATGGAAAACGAGATGACTTCAGCTTTTCCATTGTCAACTTTCCTTGTTTATGTAGTAATATTCCACTATCATCTGCATATGTTGTTCAGGTCTCCGAACTTATTTGATACTCAAGGACATGCTCTGAGTATGATCAATTCTTAAACCGAGGCAAGCTAGTCATAGATAAGTTAGGTTTACACGGATTTCATCGTTTAAAGTCAGCATTTTGTTAATTTTATATTCGTAATAATGACCTTGTTATCAAATAATATATAGCCTATCATTGGGTCATATTTAGACGAAGGTGTGTCGTGCTTCATAATATCACATCAATGTTAGGCCTTTATTTTGATTCTAAATTTGGCTATGAAGAAGATTTTGATTCAAAGGTTTTTGTTTCCAAACATATTTCCTTCTCTCCAAGTAAACAAAGTATTGCATCAGAAAAAAATCAAACAACAAACAAGTTTATGGTAAAGTTGCAAAATAAAGTTTTGTTTACTGATAAAAAGCTACCTTAATTTAATCTTAAGAAAGACGACTGGGGTTTTTCTTTTGCAGTATTATTATTGGCAGTTTATATAATGACCAAATGGGGTGATACCCTGTTAATAAATTTTATACCCGGCGAGGCGAAGGCTTTTTGTGGGTGTCTTCTTGTCGTTGTTATTACAATTTCTCATTGGGGTAATTCTTTTTTGGACAAACACAGCTTAACAACTAGTTTTTGCAAAAATAAGCAGTACAAAGGAGATCCTTGATGGATGACATCAACTGATTCTATCTTATCAGAGCTTCCTCCATATACAATTGTGGCATGGGTGAAATTCAAAGCAAACACACAGCTGATGTACAATCTGTTAACAGCTTTAACGGCGTGGACAATCTACACGTCGGAACGTGTTCTAGACATTACGGGAGTTTGGATAAATTCAACAAATAAAGTTAGAAGATAAAAGCTCGTGTAGATAAATGATAATGTAATAATGACATCATTCATGCTCGTCTGAAATCAAAGTGAAAAAACCACTCACACTCAAGTGTGTAGGAAACCCTTAATAGAAACCACTAAAGGATTTGTTTAGCTCAAACTTCAAGAAAAATAAATAAACAATCCGCTTCTTTTTCTTTCCTTTTTCTCTAGGGTTTGTTTTATTTTTTTTAATGATCATTTCCGTTTTTTATTTCTGTTTTAAAGAGCTTTAAAAGAAATAACATGCATTGAAATAAAAACTCTTATGTGACAATTGTTAAGAACTACATACTGTCTGCTTTAATATGTTGATTTTTTTATCAAACAGAGAAAAAAAAAGATGAGAAAAGCATACGCACGCGTACATGGATATGTTTTGTTAATGTATATTCGATGATAAATGAAGGAATCAAAATTTAAGTATATAAATTCGAGTCTTTTTCTTGGATAGATGTATGGTAGAAATTAAAATAGCAGCTTCCTTGATAATAGTTCACGGATAATTTTGCAGAACTACAATATGTAAGAAATGATCTATTGACAAATCGTCGTTAACAATACACATGTTGAGTACGTATAATTTTGTACAGGATTCTTGACCTCTTATTTTACATTTCAATAATGATCGACAATACCAAACCTTCAAAATAGTCCTACAATATGTATATTATAAATAACACAGAGCTTGTATCCATTACAAATAAAAAAGATTATAACTTATATTGAATGATTGACTATTTTCTGTTTTGCGAAAATATTTTTCTTAATTTTTTTTTATATTTAAATATTTCGGATTTCCTATGTTTCGACATGAGCATCACTGAAGATACATAATTTGTCTAAATGCTCATCTGGTGCATTAAAATTGGTACCGTATAACATTTACATTTCAATCATATTAGACGTTGATATGCTTAAATATTGGTAATGTGATCATAGTAAAGAAATGGATTATGCGACTGGAAACGTTCTCAAAAGCCTGGCAAATTATTTCGTATGTATGAATCTGTCAACTCACTGTCATCTTATTTGAAAAAAATGTTTTGAAACCCTCTTTTTGTGAGATTGGGGTGAAAAAGTATGGACTTGTTTTAGCTTCTTCAAAAAGGCCATTCAAAAATGTCAGGAAAACCGAAATATATTTAAGTACTAATGTGATGCAGACCTAATTGTTTATTGGCGTAAGGCAAAAGTGAATCAAAAGAGTCATCATGTATAATTAGTTTATTGAATAATTAATGTCCATGAATACATTTTCGTATAGATGTATTGTTAAAAAGTCCACTCACATTTACACTTGCTCATAATGGGATTGAAAGACTCCCTACACATTTCTGTGGTCGTTTTAACCAGACGGAAAGGCCTTGTCTAGTGTTTTGATCTATTTTTTTTTCTCGTCGTCTACGAAAAGGAGTACTCAATGGAGGACTATTAGGTGGAGATTTATTTTTTTTTCTCTAAATTCTAATAGAGTGGTCTAGTTTAATTGCTGTAAAAACTACATAGATATTGTCAATCAAAATTTCAAGCATCTTTTTATTATCAACTTCAGAGTACTTGTGTGCACAATCAGAATGTTTTTTAACAAAATAGTTTTGCAAATGACCAATGACCAATAATGGTAAATACATTTTTATTGAAAAAGCAGTGTCAATGATGTCAAAAAGCCTGCACTTTAATTTATAAATTGTTATTGACCCAAAGGAGAATCCGAGCAGCACCAACCATTGTAAGAGCATGCCCTTCCTATAGACTCTACAGATTGACACTTTTTTCATACTGGACGCCGTGTCAGCTACTATGGAATCGTTAATCTTTTCAATATCCATAGTAGAAAATATGATTGATCTCACAAAAACTTAAAAAACAATACAAATATGTTAACAGGGCATTCACACAGACCCATGGAAATTCCAGAGGAGAGATCAAGTACTTAGGAGGGATAAGCTTCTCCTGTTAAACCGTCACACGCCGTGAGCCTTATGTATTGATCAAGTAGACTAAACATTCAGTAGTCAAATTTATTAGTATAAAAACAAAGGCATACCAATTGGTATGAAACAAGTGAACCAAAATACGTCCAAGACATAGGTTATGTTTGCTTATAACTTTATAAAAACGACCATAGAATTTTAAAAAAAACGCTGACTTTACACAAAGTCGATGAAATCCCTGCAACATCAACTTATGTGTGAGTAGCCTGCCTCAGTTTAAAAAATGATCGTATTAGAGCATGCTATTGTGTAGCGAATAAGATGAGAAACATTAACACCATACACATGTGAAAGATGAATATTACTACATACATAAGGAAAGTTGACGAAGGAAAAGTCATTCCGTTTGTCATACAATTTATTTGTTAGTTGGCTTTATCGTCTGTAGTCAGTAAAACATCCAAATATGAAACAGATGTGGCAGACTCTGTGGAGTCTTTTATTTAAAGCTCACTTGTATATATCGATTCGACACATGAAAGAAAATAACTACTGTATTGTTAATGGATAATACATTGTTCACATATTTGAATATCGAGAGGAAACTCAAAGCAAATGTTTTCGTCTTCTCATGTACCGTGATCGAAAGGACGTGAGTCGAATCTCGGCCGCGACTGACCGTCCATAAAAAATAGGTACCAACTGTTCCTTCGCCATGCGCTCAGAACTTTGAAGTAAAAGTTGCGGATCCTTCGGATGAGACCTTAAAAACCGAGGTCCCGTGTCACGGCAGGCGTTGGCACGATAAAGATCCCTCACTGCTCAATGGCCTTGAGTGTCGAGTAAAGGTCAAAATTTGAAGCCCTTCACCGGTATATGGTGACGTCTCTATATGAGTGAAAATTCTCGAATTGGACGTTAAACAACATATGATCGATCAATAAATCTTCTCATGCAAAAGTTTTTGAATAAATTATGCTTCATAGGAATATGAAAACAGGTCGGTTTATAAAAGTACACAATTATTGCCTATCTAAATTCCGCTAATATAGGTACACAATTAGTGCCTATCAAAATTCCAAAGTTTGTTGGAAGACCTGGTTTCAAAAGTATACATAGATTTTGTTAATGAGGAAATTCAGCATCCTTTTAGGAATAACTACAGAATTTTGTGTGTAGAACAACAAAGTAATTTTGTTGATGACCAATCACAAGATACAGTGTATGAACATTTCTGATTTCCATTGTTATTGGAGAAGCAGTTGCCTAGGGTATCAAAAGACCTAGTTTTTAATTTATCGTGAGGAATAGTTGTATAAAGTGCAGGAAAAGCGTACATTTTGATGATACTGAGTTTTGAGAAAAAAAATTACGATTTTAAAGTAAAAACAATCCAAAAATGAAACAAAAATTCTTCCTCCCAAAAAAATTCTTTATGCAATACACTCATGGCTCCGTAAAACATGAATGTTCTGTTAGGTAACTGTTTTTAATTTTATCAGTTTTAGAGTCTATTTTTGATTAAATGAGAAGAAACATGGCCTAATTTTTAGATCATTTTTACCTTGTCTTGTAAAACTATAACTATTTTTCAATAAATCCTAGCTAAATCCAAGATCTAGTTTTCTGTAGCATCATGATCTCTCAAGGTTTAATAAAGTTTACACACATGGATCTTGTATGAACACATGAATGAAATGCTACCTATCACCTTTTAGAGTTGTTTTTAATCTTATTATTTTGTTATATCTACATTTGATGATTTTTTAACTAAGCCAACTATAAAATTGAATTGAATGACATTTTTGTGTATAGCTACACGTAGAAATTTACACGAAAAAAGCGTGTTATTGTGACGACACAATGTCGCGACGGCAATGTATTAATCAATCTGATCAAAATATACTGGTCCCTGCTGACAAAGCAAGTTCCGTTGCCCGCGTAGCGCAGTGGTTCGAGCGTTTGCTCAGTGTGGCGAAGCTAGGAATTGATCTTCTAAAACATTTATAGATATACAAAAATGTAAAGAGGAGATAAAACACGGACCCCTGGAAATTCCAGAGGTGGTATCATGTGTCTAGGAGTAAGCATTCCTTGTTGACCGGCCACTCCAGCTGTGATCCCTATGTATTGATCAGGATGAAGAAACTTTCAATAGTGTGAAAATTCTCGAAAGGGACGTTAAACAAACAATCAAAAGAGCTTACAGCATTGTCTTTGTTTGTAGAGTTCAATTCTTTAATTGTATTTTAAATGAGTTGAATTTTTTTCTGCAAGTGGTATTCCAACTTATACTCATAATTCCCTTTATAAGGAGAAATTCTTTAAAATCGTATTACTCTTTATTTTTTTTTTTAATATGTCCAATAAAATATGGAGATGAAGAACAGTACGAGGGTTGCAAGAAAAGATCGCTATTTGCATGAAACCACTGAAACTCTGGAGATAAAAAATATGTATTTTCCATTAACTTTGCAAAGATTTGGTGTTTTCCGATGACTTTTTAAAAATATTCAACTATATCATTTAGATCAAACATGCTTCGCGGAACATGTCAAAATTTTCGCAAGGTTACGTTACATAGACATTTTTTTAATTGAAAATTACACTGTTGCGACCACTATTGGAATAATTATTTCAATAGTTGTTGAAAATGCATTTCAAAACCAACACTGGTTGTAACCACTATTGAAATAACGTTCACTATTGAAATAATGATTTCAATACTGGTGGAGAATGCATTTCAAAACAAAAATCACTATTTCAATAGTGAGCGTTATTTCAACAGTGGTTACAACCTGTGTTGGTTTTGAAAAGCATTCACAATCACTATTGAAATGATTATTTCATCTTTCGCTACAATATTCATAAAAAAAGTCATTTGGCACAATTTTGAAAAAAAATTGACTGTTTTATCATTTTTATTATAGGTATTCAATGCGTAAAGACAAAGCCAAAAATGACGAAGTCATTGAACGTATTGGAGCTTAGAGCTATTAAAAATGTATGTCTGCAGACAGGAAAATATCCGAAGTAGACAACACTGTTTTTACATGATCTTTGGGATTACCCACACGTATCTAGGAGAAGTGTCCGAAGAGTAGTAGCCTTGTTAGAAGGAAGGATTGATGTTCAACTCCTGCAAAACCTCAATACCCCCTTTATCGCGAGGACATTTGATGTAATATTGGTTCCATACTTTATCGCTTAACTGTATAGACAGTGATTTTTCAGATCTCACTTATATCCAATACGCAATAAAAGACATTTCAGAAATAACTAACATGTCTTTCTCTAGTTATTTAAAATTTACATGACAAAAGACATGAAAAGTCTAGAACTGAAGGATATTTAGAACTATGAAAAAGCTGGAATCAGGTTGACACGTCGTCTAACGTCAAAAATACCTGAAGTGAGTGCTCTGTGAATCTTATGACCCCTCAATATAAATCATTGTATATTTTTAAAATTAGGGTCTTATGATCTGTCGTAAACGTCTTGGGATTGTGGAGTAAAAATTTGGTTTAAAGAATATGAATAGATTGCAAAGCACGTTGAAAGTCTTGAGATTTTCGATACTGTCAATGATTTGAAGTCCCTACGTGGGTGATAACGGTATATTGTTTCATTAGAAAGGGAAGTTGACGATAGATAAGTTGAAGACATTACATTTATCATAAAGTTAAGTTGTCATTTTGTCATCAAAAACCTTCTGTTATCAAATATGAAAAGGATGATGATAACGTGCAGTGATTGATCTGAAAAATACTACGAACAATACAAATCTGTGAACAGGAACCCCGAAAATTCCAACACAATAGAATGCTCTGAGTATGATAAATATTTAAACCGAGCCAGGCTGATGAAGAATAGGTTGATGTTACGGAGATTCCAAAAACTTCCAAGTCAGCATTTGGTTAATTCTATGGTCGTTATAGTGACCTTGTTAGCAAATACAACCTATCATTAATTGGGTTAAAGTTTGATTAACATGTTTCATACCTTATGTTTTTATATGAAACACTACGGACAACTCCGTCTACCTGATCAAAACAGTCTCTTATTTTATGCCCTGTTTACAATTTGTACTGTTTTACATAATTTCGAGAACGATCACTTTTCCTTAACCTCTTCTATTTACTTCATAAAATGCTTTATGACATTGCTCCTCTAAACTCAAGATTCTGTTGTAAATTGGAAAGATAATTTTTTTTCATGCATTGATATTCCACAAAAGGTATGTCAAATTGTACAGTTGTAAAAAAGAAAAAAGTATGATCTTTGAGAATTCCAACATTTCAGTATAGCGGACAATGTGGAAATATATTTTGAATGATTTTATTAGTCAAAAACTTCAAACAGTTACTCTGCAGAACTAGTTTAAAGTCCCGGATTTAAATTAAAAATCATCCGGATAAAGTTAAGTAGATTTTTTCAAGTGCTGCGCAGATCTTCATCATTAATTTTAAATAAGAGCAGTTTCCAGAATTTTGGGAGATACCAAAGATGAACGCGACAGGTATTGATGTATCAACAGCTCCGCCATACACGGTTATATGGTGGAATCAGTTCCAGGAGAACCCTCAGTCCTTGTACAATTTATGCTCCGGGGGACAGGAGGGAACGATTAATGTCTCAGATGACGTAGTTAACTTGACACAAGTCAACTCAAGGTAAAAGTTAAAGACTGAGTAGTAGTTTTGTTTAGTTTACTACAAACAGTTTATAGTCTGCTATTTAGTAATAGTTTGGATAATGTTAAAGTCATTTCGTTTATGATTTAGGACAAAAAGAAAATATAGATAAAAAATAGGCTGCACATAGGCTGAGATACCGATTATATTATTCATCAATTCTGTAAGGGATGGAATTCTCCCAGTAAGATTTGAATAAAATAATTTTGGTTGACAATGATTGGCAAACATATCCCAGTCAGATGGGTTAGTAAAAGGTAGTGCCTAATCATTTGTACATGCATGAAGTTTGTTTTATATATCTTTGTCTATGACAACGCATTCTATTATTTGCCGACAAGCCCAGGAAATGCACTGGGGAATCGGAAATTTACTTAATCAAGTATATAAAAGTTTATAAATATAGTATAATACTGTATAAATATTATATTACACGCAAGAATACTCTTTTGGATATATATATATATTAGGGATGTCAAATCGGTCAATTTTTGATAATCGGTTACTCGGACGTTTTTCCGATCGAGTACCTGGGTACTCGGTAAAGATGTAAATACAAGTGTGTTAATTTTCTTGAGCCCCCAAAAGACACAATTAATACATCAAAAATTACAAATGGTTTACGGTTCTTGTTTAGGATCTATTTCATCAAAAGGAGGACAATCTGTTACGCAGGTTTGTTATTATCAGACTAGCCAAAGAGAAGGACCGGACGTTGTCGGGATTGCTAGTCTAATATTCTGATAAGTTTAGTGTACACGGGGGAAACAATTTCATATGTTGATTGTTTCCCCCGTAGACACTAAACTTACTACACAAACTGACTTTCAACATTTATTTTGAATCTTTAGTTATTTCTAAATATTTCTTCACTTTTGAAGTGGGTAGCGGCATTTCTGTGCACGTCCAATTTCGTTGCGTATATTAACTAAATAATTTAAAAATGATTTAAAGATAATAGACAATCGATGTCCACTGAAAACAATCAATGAAGCCATCCAAAAATTAAGGACCAGAATAGGTGAGAAGAGCTGGGTGACTGATCAATAATTACTGTATATACACAGCCACAGGCGATAATGGGTGTTTTACTGGTGTAGAAGGCTACACGCTATAATTAACGTATGCATATTTAAGTTAATTTTTGATAAGTTTTTGATAAAAATAAGTACTTTGAAATAAGAAAAAAAAGGCAGATCCGAGTAACCGAGTACCATTTTTAGTATTCGATACTCGGACGTTCGATCGAGTACCCGGTTAACCGGGTACTCGTTGACATCCCTAATATATATATATATATATATATATATATATATATATATATATATATATATAGATAGATAGATATATAGATATATATATATATATATATATATATATATATATATATATATATATATATATATATATATATATATATATATATATATTGGATACATATATTATATATATATATATATTTAAAGCAGGTAACATTGTCTTTGTTTGTAAGGCTCATTATATTAAATGTATTTTAGAGGAACTTGGATTTAATTCTACAAGTGGTAATCCAACTTATACTCATAGTTCCCTTTCTAAAGAAGAACTTCTTCAAAATCATATGTCAGTTTTGAATATATTTAAAATTCCAAACAACCAAAATGAATTTGAATTACCATCTCTATATTGGATTCCGAAACATCATAGAAATCCTTACAAACAAAGATACATAGAGGGTTCCAGTAAATGTTCAGCCAAGCCTCTTTCTTTACTCCTCACTAAGATATTAACAGTAGTGAAGGAGAATTTTCAAGAGTACTGTGCAACAATTTATTCGAGAAGTGGTGTAAATCAGATGTGGATACTTAAAAATTCCAAGGAACTTTTGGAAAATTTGAAATCACAAGATTTACCAAAATCAACAGCTTAAAAATTTACGACTTTTCAACTTTATATACAAGCATTCCCCACGATAAATTAAAGTCCAGGCTTTTTGATATCAATGACAGCTGCTTTTTCAATAAAAATGGAACTCGTAAAATTACTTACTTGTCATTGGTCGTTTGCAAAATTATTTTGTTAAAAACACTCTGATTGTACACACAAGTACATCTGAAGTTGACATTAAAAAGATGCTTGAGTTTTTGATTGACAATATCTATGTGGTTTTTGGAGACCAGGTCTTCCAACAATCTATTGGAATTCCTATGGATACCAATTGCTCCCCGTTATTAGCAGACCTTTTTGTATTCATATGAAGCAGAATTTGTCCAAAATCTTACGTGAAAAGAAGAAATCACTTGCTGTGGCCTTCAATTCGACATTTAGATATATCGATGACGTATTGTCAATTAACAATGGCTATTTCCATTATATGTCGATACGATATATCCTGGTGAGCTTGAGATAAAAGGTACCACAGAGTCTGACACATCTGTTTCATATTTGGATATTTACTTGAAAAAGACGTTAATGGTAATCTAACAACCAAGCTTTATGATAAACGTGATGACTTTAACTTTTCAATCGTCAACTTCCCTTACTTATGCAGCAATATACCTTCATTACCTGCATACGGGGTATATATCTCTCAGTTGATTCGATACGCAAGAGCATGCTCTATTTATTTACAATTTCTAAAACGAGGTAAATTATTGACAAACAAGTTGATGAAACAAGAATATCAGCAGTCTCGTTTTAAAGGCATCATTTCGTAAGTTTTATGGTCGATACAATGACCTTATCAGCAATACAATTTATCATTGAGTCAAATGATGACTGACGTTTTCATACTAATTGTTAGGCCATTATTTACACACTGAATTGTCGACGGATTTTTCCGTTATATCCCGATCATGACAAGGAGCACACGGCGGGTGTAACCGGTCGGCAGGGGATGCTCACTCCTCCATGGCACCTGATCCCACCTCTAATGTTTGGATGTCCGTGTTTGCTCTGCTCCTATTTTGTATTGTTAAATGGACTTTTGAGCTTAAATACTGTTCGTTATCTCCATATATTTCATTACTCTCTCTTACTTTGATATCTTTTCACACTGTGAGAGACTATCACTTTGGTATCTTTTCACACTGTGAGAGAATATCATTTTTATTCAAAAAATAAATCACAGTATTTCACTGTTGAAAATGTAATAAACTGTTTTACGCCCCGTTCTAGAATTTTTCACTCATATGGAGACGTCCAAAATAACATGAAACCAAATCATATTACTCATTACAAAATGAATCTTCTAAGCAGGCAGAAGTTCTAGACTGAATATCCCCGTCTCATATAAAATAGCGAATATATTCTGAAAGTTATTTCACTTGCAAAAAATCGGAGAAGGGAGAAGAATTGCCCCCCCCCCCTTTTCTGAATGTAAATTTTAGCAATTTCTAGTTTGAAAATGTTCATTGGAAGTCCTATAGCCACCCCTAGGCCTCTTTTTCATACGGTAGATCTCTGCTTCTTGAGTGGACAAGGTGAACATAACATTCATGCGCATAGAATCAGGGGTGGGGGTCCTCCCCCTTCTATTTTCATGAACGTAATTCTTTTATTTTTTCGCTTGAAAATGTTCATTGCAAGTCTGGTTGCCCTACCCCAGACTTTGTGATACAGTAGAGTAAAAGGAAATCCCCTTTATATCAATAACTTTTTTGGTTCATCAAAGAGGTAACCTGTCATTTTTGTGTCTTATAATGTCCCATTTCCCCTTTTGATGCTATGCCTAACATTTATTTTTTCTACATTGCACCAAAAATAGATATCAAATGCAAAATTTATACTGGTTCTGCTTATGTTAACTCCGATTCTCTCAAAAGGTTTGGCTAGGACTTGAGCAAATGTAAACAAGAAACTTGACATGTCTACTTCATCATTTTGTATCAATTTAATCGTTGAATCATATAATGAAAAAAACAGTTATTGCTGTTTTTTCTGTCAGTACGATAATTTTCCACCATCGATAAGGACACCACACCAAAATGTCTAATATAGTATGAATTGAAAGTTAAGAAGACAGCATGAGTACCATTTTTGTATAACGTACGATTGATTAAAATATATTATTCATATCCTCCATTTCCTTTCATAAGTCGTCAATTTGATAGGGGAGTGAGGATGTTTTACTCCAGAGCAAGACTTCAACGGAGAAACATGGCCAAAAAGTGGGCATTCCCTAAGGGAATAGAATCACAACGGGGAAACATGGCCAAAAAGTGGGCATTCCCTTAGGGAATAGAATCACGTGCTCTAGAGTAAGTCTTGCGGGGGGAGGCTTCCCCCTTGGGTAGCTACTAACTTTTGATACTTTTGGGAGGGGGTATGTCTCCGGGGGAAAAGGATGGCTTTGGAGGGAAAGTATGACTCTAGAGTTAGATTCCCCCATAAGATGAGGCTCAATTTTCAGCAGGACTTCTGAGGGAAGTCTCAATATAGAGGACATTTTGCCCTTCAACACGCCATCTCAAGAAAATCAAAACGGACAACGACTTGCACTATCTTAGCACCTGATGTCGACCAGAAATATCTAAAGTTATAAACTATGCTTGTTTCAGTTATGATATGAATATTTTATTTAATGAACAGTTAATATTTCAATATGATCACAATATGCTTTGCATTAATGTCAAATTATTTAAATCGATTGGAAGAGAGTAAACTAAATGATCTACACCTCTAATTTTAAAGTAAAGGAAACATTTTTAATCCGTAGAACTACATTTGGAGTGGGTTTGGACCACTCTTGGGAAATCAAAGTAAAGAGTTCCGAGGATATGGAGAGGTTGAGAAGTGATCTTATGTCAAAGCCTATTCTTTTCCGTGCAACTTTGGATCACGTACGAACTGACTTTTACGTGGTGTTTGCTGTCCATAAGAATTGGAATGGTATTCTTCTGTATATTAGCAAATTGTATCATTTTTGTTGTTGACATGTTAAAAGCTTTATGATTGTTATTTATGACTTGTCACATATAATGAAAAAAAAAAAAGAAAATGAGACCGCTAATTATGACATAAATACATATACAATTTTTTTTTCATTTTTCAGATAAAGTAATAAAAACTTCGCATTACTTTTTCTTTTAATTAATTATAATAATTAAATGTATAAGCTTTACTATCAAGAGAGGTAACATAACGTTCATCATGATGGAAAGCACAATCTGTTTATCCTTAGTTATCTTCTTCCTATAGCTGAGTTGGCTGTTCTCGTTAACACCAAGCATCCATCCATCAGAGAAGTCTTATCTACCAAGCTGAATGAAGTCACACAGGCCATGAGGGAAGGCGAAAAGTTCTGTCTGAAGGTACACAAAACAACTACAAACTCACAGGGTTCATTGTATTATCTTAAGTTTTCAGTCCAAAATTGCTAACGCGCCACCTAAATAAATTAACATTTTTCTTTTCAAAACTTGTTTATGATGTTTTTGATATATAATTATGTTACTTTAGTATAAAATGAGACATTTAAATGCTTTACCTGATAAATAATAACAATGTTTACTGAAGCGTAACCACTTCATAGAAAAAATTAAAATCACATTCATACTTTTTGGTGGAATTAATTACTATTTTTTTTTTTTTTTTTTGTGGTTGTGTTTTTTATGTTTGTACAAATTAAAAACTCAGAAAAAAACTTACACCGTATGCGGCGTTTCACTCTAGAAGAGCGTGCTAAGACAGCCAGTATGGTGTCTGCAGTGGGTTCCTTTGAAGAAATTTGTAAAAAATTAAAAGAATTAAATGATTATGAAAAATTGTTGAAAATGAATTAACGATCATAAAAATGTTTACAATAGATATCGACCGCATTAGGTGAGCACCACACAATAATATCAAGATTGTTCCACAAAATTGGGGCAACCGGAAGTTGGGTGGATTTGGTAGGGACACCAAGGCACTGGATGACTACTAAGCGATATGGTAGTCAATCAGGGTATATCATTTGATTTTTTAGTGGGAGACTGCTCCCGTCGCAACGTCAAGGACCAATGTGATCAATTCACAAATAAGAATAATAAGTGGTGCGTTAGCAATTTTGTCCAGTGTATATTGTGAACAAATATAAAGTAAACAAAAATAATAATAACAAGATCTGTTTGTGAAACACTGATGCCCCCGTATGGCAGCTTATAGCGAAGTTTAAAGTCTAACTCCAGGTCAAGAGATCAAAAATGTTGGTATCCAAAGAAAGGTCTTGTCTCGAGGAATATACCTGTGAAATTTGAAAGCCATAGCACCTACCATTCGGGATTTATGTCCAAGTTTAAATTTTTGAAAAGTAGGTCAAACTCCTGGGTCAAGGTCAAAGGGTCAAAGTCGTTGTTATCCAAAAGAAAGGTATTGTCACAAGCAATGTACATGTTAAGTATGAAAGCCCTAAAACTAAATGTATAAAGGTTATGGCCAAGGTTAAAGTCTTTAAAAAGTAGGTCAAACTCCAAGGTCAAGGTCAAAGGGTCAGAGTTGTTGGTATCCCAAGGAAGGTCTTGTCACAAGGATTACATATGTGAAGTATGAAAGCCCTAGCAACAACCATTCAAAAGTTATGGCCAAGGTTAAAGATTTTCAAAAGTAGGCCAAACTCCTAGGTCAAGGTCTAATAGTTAAAATGTTTGATATCAAAAAGGAAGGTCATGTCACAAGGATTACATATGTGGAGTATGAAAGCCGTAGACCCAACCGTTAAAAAGCTATGGCCAAGGTTAAAGTTTTTTTCAAAAGTAGGACAAACTCCTAGGTCAAGGTCAAAAGGTCAAAGTTGTTGTATCCAAAGGAAGGTCTAGTTACAAAAAAAACATGTGAAAAATGAAAGCCCTACCACAACTGTTGAAAAGTTATGGCCTAGGTTAATTTTTTTCAAAAGTAGGTCAAACTCTTAGGTCAAGGTCAAAGGGTCAGAGTTGTCAGTATCTTAAGGAAGGTTTTGTCAAAAGGAACACATGTTCACATGTAAAGTTTGTAAGCCCAAGCACCGACTGTTCCAAAATTATCGACTACGTTAAAATCTCATAAAATTTTGCAAAAGTGGGTCAAATATGTTGGTACCCAAAGAAAGGTCTTACAAGGAATACACATGTGAAATATGAAGGTCATAGCTCCAACCAATCAAAAGTTATGGGCAAGGTTAAAGTTTTTGCGGACAAACTGACAGACAGACAGACGATCGGACAAGGCAAAAACTATATACCCCTGAATCTTCGATACGGGGGCGTAAAAATCAAAAGGTATGGAAAAGTATTTTAGGCAAATGTTTTTCGTATATTGCAATTTAATGGGAAATAAAAAACAAAGACGGAAACTACTACGCTCCGATTCCATATTTTTTCCCAAATGATAGAAAACAAGTGATGAAATCTTTTGATTTCCCGTAATAAGAATCTACCTGGAGTCTTGGAAAATTCATGGAAATGGCGTGTAGTTTTTTCAATGCCACAGAAACTTAGCGGAATAATCCGACATCAATCTAAGAAACGACTGAAAAACATAGTTATCTAGATTTCTATTAGGGTTCGATGTTTCCCTTCTATCAGAATGATAACCTAACAACAAAGCTTTATGATAAACGTGATGACTTTAACTTTTCAATCGTCAACTTCCCTTACTTATGTAGCAATATACCCTTATCACCTGCATATGGGGTTTATGTCTCTCAGTTGATTCGATACGCAAGCGCATGCTCTACTTATTAACAATTTCTGAAACGAGACAAGCTATTGACAAACAAGTTGATGAAAGAAGGACATCAACAGTCTCGATTGAAGTCACCTTTTCGCAAGTTTTACGGTCAATACAATGACCTTGTCAGCACACACAACCTATCATTGAGTCAAATGCTGACTGACGTTTTTCATACTAATTGTTAGGTCATTATTTATACACTGAACTGTCTACGGATTTCTCCGTTATTTCCCGATCATGACAAGGAGCACACGGCGGGTGTGACCGGTCGACAGAAGATGCTCACTCCTCTATGTCACCTGGTCCCACTTCTTTATTTTGATGTCCGTGTTTGCTCTGCTTCAAGTTTGTATCGTTTCATAGGACTTTCGAGATTGAATACTGTTCGTTATCTTCATATTTCAACTCTTAATTTAGAGTGCAATGTAAGGACTTTAGAATAAATTTAAATATTCATATATTAATATTCTTGCAAAGTATAATATAACTTATATTTGTTAGGCCTTATTTTCCAATGAACTTGACTACGAAATCTTCCATCTGCCTGATCAATATCTAGAACTCACTGCAGTGTGTCTGATCAAAAGGTGGTGATGCTTCCTCCTCCCTGGCACCTGATCCCTCCTTTGAATTTCCAGGAGTCTGTGTTTTATGCCCTGGTCACAGATTTGTATTGTGTATAGCTTTTGGGGGGGTCAATGACTGTTTATCTTAAAGTTTTTCATTTAGCTCGACTTTGGTGAACCTGTAGTGCAGTGGTATTGTCAACAGGTGGATACCCAGAGATGCTGGAGCAGAACCGTCGATTGCAGAAGCATGGCTCTCTTCATCAACAACTGCAGCATGCCCATAGATATCTGTTTCAATCCGGTTATCATCGTTTACTGTTTTCCATGCTGGCTTTTTGGAGGTCCCTGCTATTGTGCAAGTCTTTTTATATAATTACTTACTGAGGGTGTCCACTTCAATGAAGAACTTTGAAATAACACCAGGATTTGAAAAATAGAAGATATTCAATATTTTGTTGTTGGACATGCAATTTATCTCAAGAGTGGGGCTATATATATATATATATATATATATATATATATATATATATATATATATATATATATATATATATATATATATATATATATATATATATATATATCTTTTTGAGCGCGAGACAAGATTAAAAAAATATAGAACAAAGTCGTGTCTCGCGAGTGGAAAAAAAACCAAAACAGAGAATTTTCCGTTTATTTTATTTTTAAATTTTCCTTTGCCTCTGTCTTTTTGCAACCAAGTGTCATAGACTCTGACATCATAAATGAACGGTTGTGAGGCGTCATAGCTCGGCAATTATGAGATTAAAAAATGTAAACGTTGATCATAAATACAAATATGAAGAAACTTTGAAAGTTTTAGTCTCTATCATGAAAGTTTATTTACTATCAGTATTGTAAACAGACTAGAGTATTTTTTTATAATACTCTTCGTGAAGGGATGGAAAATCTCGAGATTTGCCGCACTTTCAATATTTTTTCACAGTATAAATAAAAAGATAAATATATTGGAATAAAGTGGGAAGTGATTGACCAAGGGGCAGAAAAATTTAACACTTTCATCTAAAAACTTCTTATTATAAAGTCCCTCAAGACAAAAAATGGTTTTCAGAAGTGTGTTATATATTTAAAGTATAAGTATAAGGGATTTGAAACACAGCTAATTTTTGTTAGACAATTTTAACCGGTCCAGTAATATTTTAATTTTTTTGTACAAATTATAAAAACATAAAAACCCGGAGCTTGTATTGTGAAGTTTAAGACTTCTATAATTCTTTTGGGAAATAAACAACTTTGCATCATTTTACTCATACTTCATTTACGTGAGATTGTATGTGTAGTGATATTCTTCACCAAAGAGCTGCTTTAAAAAAAATAAACGGTTTCTTAATTCAGCATTTAATGGCTCTGTATTCATGATTCTTATATGATATTTTTATATGTGTGTATATTTTGTAGATTCACAGGAAAGGGAAACGCATTGATAGGTCTTATAGTTTTCGGGACCTTCTTGTCGTCTCACAAACAGAAAACATCAAGGCCTATTCCAAACTACGGGAAAGCTTTACAGTTTTGAACATTATCTCAATCTGAAGAATCTTTATCGATGCAGACTGTGCCACTGAAATCGAGGTTATTTAAGGCATCATCTCCTGAACATTCACACGTGTTTAATCTTCATATAGAATTATTTATATAATTAATGCTAACTTTATACGTACTTGTTGATTATTAGTTAGTATGTAATTACTGTAGATTCTTACTTATTTTTGGACGACTTCCATATTTGTTTGCGTCTGTTAATACTTTTATTTTCTTTGAAATTCGATCATGTGAACTTGAATTGGAATCCAGATTAATCATAAGATATATACAGCTTTTCTTTTATTTAGATCGTGCTGCCTACAGGGAATATGATTTCGTGGGTATATATAGCTTACTTTCTGAGAACTTGAGCTTGTAAATTTTAATGCTTTATTTTATTTATTTATTTTTTTTGAATAAACTGAGGAATTGAACAAAAAATCAGAAGTAATCAAATTTGATCAATGCTAAGGATTTTGTCTGCTGAGCAGGTAAAGTGTTTAATTTGGCTCCTACAACGCCATATCAATCTTCCTCAGTAATGCTGACTCGCACTATCTGATCCCTAACGTAAAGCCTTTATCATTTAAGATAACATCAACTTAAAAAGTTGCCTTTAAATGAAAAGTACTTCAGAGTAAGATCCATTCAGTCATGTCAAATACTATACAGAATTATTGATACTCATTAATTGTCTCATACATTGTAGCCTTATCACTTACATCTACTCTGTACAAGGTCTAACACGGCCTTGCATACCTTTGTGGTATATGGTACTAAATTTTGATTGGTCATCTAAATTAATTTCTGATCTCTGAAAGAAGAAGGCACGGTTTTAGCTTTATTATGCCCTAAAAATTTAATATTTTTTTAAAAAAATTTGAAACTGGCTTAAATATTAGTTGAGTATATGACTGTGATAAATCAGGAAAGAATAGGTCATGAAGAAGTACCAGTATGGAAATATGACGTCATTTTCATGTATTTCTCTATTTTAAACAGAAAAAGCCTAAAAAATAACCTATTTCAAGGGTTATTTTCCTTAAGAATATAGTGTCCACAGCCGTCGCCCACTTTAATTTTCGGATATGTTCTGTAAAATTCTTTGAAAAATCACATATCTCAAAATCTTTGTGTGCGATGCCTGTGGACAATATTATCTGAAAGAAAATTCCATTGAAAATTGATGTTTTCTGCAACTTTTTAAGAAAATACGGGAAATTTCATAAGTTTATGATGTCACAATTAGCATTTAGTAGGTCATGTGAGAAAAATGATTTGAGTTATCTTTCTGCATGGAATTTCAATGATTCAGAAAGCACTTTCATTTTTAGGAAACACAGGGCAAGATTTGTATTGAAACCGTATCTTGTTCTTTCATGTACAGGGGAATAGGTGTTTTCAATCCATTTTAGTCATCTATTTAACATGCTACAATAAGAAAAACAAAAAAAATATTATAAGTATGAAATATGTCAGTTTAAATACGACCCAATGGTAGGATATATTTGCTTACAAGGTTAATTTAACGACCATGGTATTTTTGAAATGCTGACTTTAAACATTAACTTATCTGTCAATAGCTCCTCTCGATCTAAAAACTTATCTTTATCAGGACATGCTCTTGAATATCAAATAAGTTGGTAGACATAAAAACCATATGCACATGACAGCAGAATATTTCTTCATAAAAAAAGAAAAGTTGGTGATCGTAAATCTAAAGTCATCTTGTTCTCATTACAATTTAGTTGTAAGTTGGCCCTTATCGTCTAAAGTCAGTAAAACATCCAAATAAGAAACAGATGTTTCAAACTTTGTGCTGTCTTCTACCTCAAGCTTGCTGTATTCATTTTCACTCCTACGTTCATTCGAAATATCCCTTTGATCTCGAAATAAAAGGCAGCACAGAGTCTGGCATATCTGTTTAATATTATAGAATTTTACTATAAGATATTAATGGCAACCTTACAACAAAACTTTGTGATAAACGTGATGATTTCCACTTTTCTGTCGTCAATTTATTTATTAAGCAATGTACCATTATCTATTGTATACAGAGTTCATGTCTCCCAGTTGTTTCGATACGCAAGAGCATGCTCTACATATGAACAATATCTAAAAGAAGCAAGCTATTGACAAATATGTTGATGATGGAAAGATATCGATATTTCCTTCAAAGTCAAAGTCAAAATTTCGCATATTCAATGGTTTATACAATTTATCATTGAGTCAAATGCTGACTGACGTTTTTCATACTAATTGTTAGGCCATTATTTACACACTGAATTGTCGACGGATTTTTCCGTTATTTTCCGATCATGACAAGGAGCACACGGCGGGTGTGACCGGTCGGCAGGGGATGCTCACTCCTCCATGGCACCTGATCCCACCTCTGATGTTTTGGAGGTCCATGTTTGCTCTGCTCCTATATTGTATTGTTTAATAGACTTTTGAGCTTGAATACTGTTCGTTATCTCCATATATTTCATAATCTTGTTTGTCATTGCAAGCTGCCGTCATATTTGAATGTTGACTGGCGTCTTTCAAAAAATGTAAGGCCATTATTTTCACTCTTGTATTTACGATTTTTTTTTTTGCCCATTCATGATACGGAGTACACTGTAACCAATGAGCAGGGGATGCTTACTTGTCCATGATACCTGATCCGACCTCTGTTTTAAGAGGGTCATATAATATAGCCCTGCTTTCAATTTTATAGTTTATATGGACTTTTGAGCTTGTTCACTGTTCTTTTTCTTCACATTTTATCTTAAATGTCGTCAAACAACTTAAGATTCCTTAGAAATTAATCAGATATAGAAATGGTAGATGTTGAATACAAATATCAAATAAACCTAATTTTTTACGTTTCTCATATCAATTAATTACACGGGAAATGAAAATGCGTATATATTGAGATCCTTTTTATGAAAAAAAGTATCCATCAATTAAGCTTTGATCAGATGAAATGTTTTCTTTATGGCCTTAGAGGAAATAAAAGTCTAAAACTAAAACTCATAATCTGAATTTTTCAATTATTTCGGGGGAAAATAACCTTTAATATTAGACATCGACGGATTAAAGAAACATAATTGCCAGGATCATTTTAACTTAATGGGATATATCTAATCGTTGAGATTTGATAAATTTTCGCAATATTATTTTTATGGTCTTAAAAAGTCTCGCATTCAAAAGTCAGACTATGCACATACATATATATATAACATCAGACTCAAGGAGTCTTATTCAGAGGGACAGATGGTATTCAAGGACTCTGTTTAAGAGAGACAAACAGTGAGGGTAGGTTGTTTTACAATATCTCTAAATTTGTAATGAATGATTGTGCTTTTGAACATGACTTTGTTTATTATCTTCCCATTTATTTAGTGAACATATTATACTTGTTCATATAAAGCTTCGTATCCTTGTTCTTCTTACAGACAGTTTTATATTTATGTGTAATCTGAATAGTGCGGATTATGAACGATAAATTCGGACAAACATGTAAAAGATTTTATATCTATATTTTGCCTTAATTAATGTTATAAATTAAAGAAAGGAATTCTATGATACAAAAACAATTTTTAAATTATATCAATTATAAATCTAAATTTCAATTATTGGTCAAGATGTAAATAATAAAACCATCCTTCAATAAGGTGTCTCTACAGTATTAATATTTTGATAAATATTTTTGCTAAAAATGCAAAATTTTGAAAAGCCATATTCTATCTAGTTTACATATTTAAACGTATACTTTACAGATCTTTTAAATGTAGAAGGTAAACATAACGAATAGTGATCGATCTCAAAAATTCCACAAACAATACAAATATCTGAAATTGGCATGTGGGATCAGGTGCGTTGGAGGAGTAAGCTGTTGACCAATCTGTTGACCGATCACCCCCGTCGTGAGCCCTAGGTACTGATCAGGCAGACGGAACTATCCGTAGTAGACCTAGTACAAATCAAAGGCCTAACAATTGGTATGAAACAAGTCAGCCAAAATACGACCCAATGATAGGTTATTTTGCTAACAAGGTCATTATAACGACCATAACATTTACGAAATGCTGACTTCAAACGAGGCTGTTGAAATTCCTGTAAGATCAACTTATTAGTAGCATGCCTCGCATTAAAAATTGATCTTACTCAGAGCAAGCTCTTGAGTAGCGAATAAACACTATAAGCAGGTGATAGTGGAATATTACTACATAAATAATGAAAGTTGACGATGAAAAAGCTAAAGTCATCTCGTTTGTCATACAATTGTTTATTTGCCTTTATCGTCTATAGTCAGTAAAATATCAGATGCGGCAGACTCTGTGGTGTCGTTTATTTTAAATTCACTGGGATAATTCTTATAATACATTTTCTTACAGACATGCATGTGCTTAAATATCAAGTGTTAGGCCTTATCACTTCCCTTCCAACAGTACAAAACATACATCAAAATTTGATGAATCTGGTAAAATTAGGAAGTTTACTTCCACGATTTTATCTCATTTAAAAAATCAGTTTCAGTCTACCACAGAAATTCCTGAATTTTGACGGTATATTCAAGAATTATTTTGTGTAGGACAAAGCAAACGAAGAACTGTCGTTCCATTTTAACTTTATCATTCATGTTCTTCAATTTCATTTGTTTTTGATTGATTTCGTGAGATACAATAATCTAAAGTTGTTATTAGATTTTATAATTATTTAAAATACTCATTGTTTATGTATTAAGAAAGGAATATCTAAGAATATGATACAAAGCTTTCCAGTGTTAATTTTAAAATTCATTAATGTTTGCTTCTACAAATGAGTATGGATTTCACTGGGGAGAAAAAGCATATTTCAGCTCTTATCTATTAAAACGTTTAAGAAGCGTCGATTTTATGTAACAGATATAATGTTACTTTTTTGTAATGAAGGAAATAACTTCATATTACATTTGACGATGAGACAATGATTCCATTCGATGAAAATGGACATAAACTATTTTCTCAAATTATGAAAGATACTTGTTTCTGAATGTCAAATTAAATTTAAAAAAAATTGAACACACAGACGTAATTAAATAGTTTTGATTACAAGAAAACGAGTCAATTTTTACTTTGCTTTTGAATTTAAATTTGCTCACAAATGTAACAAAACATCATCATT